TGGTTTGGATCAGTTTTTGATTGGATTGTGTTATCCCAAAAAATCTCCTTGACACGTGGCAGATGAAATGACGTGCCACTTGCTTTGCTCAAAACAAAAAAGATTTCTTCGACGACCCTTTGTTCTTTCCAAGCGTGGAACTCAGCTTGTGAGTTGATGAAAGAATGTCGTAAATTGTGCCTTAAAGATCAGATGATTGGCAAAAACGAGGGATGAATTTCTTGCACTAAATGGGTTATACGGCAAGATGCCCTGGATATGATTCCAAGGACTCATCAAAGCTAATGTAATCAAGAAAAGTTAAGACTGCAAGAAAAATAAATGATCACTAAACTACTAAAAATCTAAAAGAACTTTAAATACGCAAATTGGGTTGAAACATAGCTTTAAAAGGAAATTTAATTGCAGCAAAAGTAAATTAAATTAAAAAAATAAAACCGGAAACAAGGAAAATCTACTAACAGCATGAAATATAAATTAACAGAAATGGAATTGAACATGAAATTAAATGTGGACATCATTTGATTTAATTAAAGGAAACTTGGAAAATAGAAAAGGAAAAGAAGCAATCCGATCACAAAGAAATACTACTGAAGGCAATGAAACTCACCATTACAAATCCAACAAATGAAGAGCTGAATTACTAAACTAATCTAGATTGAAGCGTAGAGTTGGAATTAAATTAAAGGGCTTGAAACTAAGATGAATCTGAGCATAAAGAGAAATTATGCTTAGTTTGTTGTGTGAGATGACGATCCTTTACTTGATTTTATCATTAGGTATTTATAACACCTTAGCAGCATGGTGGAGATCTGCGGCAGCATCCTGAAAAACCAATGGCAGCGTGATATCTGCAACAAATCAATTAATTTGTTGGTGTTGCGATTATCCTCCTGGAAGCTCGCAACAAGAGAACGGTTTTGCTGCCGTCGTGGAAATAACCACTCAATCTCATCTGAAAAGATTCACACCAACTTTTAACTAATAAAATATCTGCCAATATAGGTGACACGTGACAACACTCTATTTGTTGTAAAATTAGGTGTAAACATTGCCCCCCAATTTTTGGCCTTACGAGAGTAAGTGTCAAAAATTTAGGATCTTAGTGACAGTACTCAACTTTTTTGTGCCCTTGTCGTCTTTTGTAAGCCCCAAATTTCCTCAAGGGCTTCCTTCCTTTTCACCATTTTACTTTTGCTGTTTACGATTTCGTTTCCATTTTGGAATTGGAAACGTGGTCGATTGCAATTTCTGTAATGCCGTCGCAACTCTTCATTGGTTAGGATTCGAAAACATGATCGATTCCAATTCATTATAAAACATAGTCACTCCTCCAATAACCATTGTCACAGATTTGCGGCCGTTTCTTTCTTTCTCTTTTTTTTTTTTTTTGGTTTTTGTAGCGTCTTTGTCAAGCCATTTTAGCCAATTTCTTGCCCAAGAGTTACATAAAGGAGGAATCCTTAAATCCCTTAAAGCTGAAAGAAGCAAATTACTTGTTGAGCTTAAGGAAGAAGGACGTGAAGCTTTAGCTGCAAAGAGTGAGACTGCACAACAAGAGAAGAAAGCAAAGGAAGCCAACAACACACTGCAACAAATGAGAGATGAGTGGGCCACCTGATTTTTTTTTTTTTTTAACATCATTCATCCTTGTTGCGACCATCAAGCCGCCTAAACATTTATTTCTAAACTTCTTTTGGTTCTTACTTCTTCTAATGATGAACGATGAATTTATTTGCTTGCTTAATTCATGTTGCCTACGGCTTTTGCAAAAAAAGCCACTCTAGATCATGTAGACATAGAGGCAGAACTATCCCGTGCCTCCCACACAGTTGGATAATATGGTTTCAAGTAGATGCCATTGATCTTGCACGGATGTAACTCCCCATTCAAAGACTTTAACCAATAAGCACCCCCTTTAAGAACTTTACGAATTTGGAATGGTCCTTCCCAATTAGGGGACCATTTACCATATCTGGGATCCTTCTTGCCAAGCGGCAGCACAACCTTCCAAACCCAGCTTCCTTCGGCTAAATTCTTTTGCTTGACCCTTTTGTTGTAAGCTTGTGCCACCTTAAGCTTCTGGGCTTTCATCACATCCAATGTTGTCAGCCTTGCTTCCTCAAGGTCTTCCAACTCCATGATCATGGCCTCATTGTATTCCCCAGAATTTAAGCCATTTTGAATTGCAATCCGCAGAGACCCTGCCAATAATTCCATAGATAAGACAACATCATGACCATAAGTAAGTGAGAATGGGGTCACCTTAGTTGAACTCCGTTGTGAGGTTCTGTATGCTTAGAGAGTATCTGAAAGAAGCTTATGCCATCTCCTGGGATTATCATCAACCATTTTGTCCAGGATGTTGATAATAATCTTATTAGATGCCTCTGCTTGACCATTTGCTTGTGCACAATGCAAAGTTGAATTAAGCAAACGAAATCACATGTCTTTGGCAAAGGCCTCTACTTGAGATCCAACAAAAGCAGTACCTTAATTAGAAGTGATAGTTTCTGAAACACCAAACCTGTGGATTAGATCCTTTTTTATGAACTTGATGACATCTCCTTGCTCAACCTTTTTCATAGGCCTTGCCTCCACCCACTTAGTAAGGTACTCTATAGAAACTATTATGAAAGAATGGCCTTTAGAAGAAGGTGGATAAAATTTCCCAATCAAATCAATTGCCCAACCACAAAAAGGCCATGGCTTGACAATAGGATGTAACTCAAAAGCTTGCTTTCATTGCAAAGGACCATGCAGCTGACAAGCTTTGCTGCCCTTCACATAATTGATGCAATCCTTAAGAATAGATGGCCAAAAAAAACCATGCCTTCGAATTAGCCATCTCATCTTCATCCTTACTTGATGAGCACCACAAATACCATTATGAACATGTAACATCACATGGCAACTTTCATCAAGACCAAGGCAGTGCAATAATAATTCATCCTGCCCCCTATGATACAGGACATCCCCGAGTAGCACATAGTTTAAAGCTTTCATCCTCGTTATCCTTGATGTTTTAGAACTGGGATTCCTCAAATGTTCTATTATTGGATGCCTACAGTCTGTAGGTGTGACATCTATTGAGCATGCTTCCACTGTTATCCCTCTTTGATGAATTGAAGGCAACATACATTTTTTAATGACGATCACTTTCTCCAAGACACCTTTAGGTATTTTTACACTTGAAGCAATCTGCGCAAGTTCATTTGCTTCAATATTCATGTTGCGAGGAATATGCTTCAGGGAGACATCATCAAATTCCTCCAATAGTTGGATGGCAATGGCAAAATATGGAGACAAAACTACGCTTGTACACTTGTATTCGCCACTCAATTGCTTGAGACCTAATTGAGAATCACCCACAATTTCAACCGATGGCACCTTCAACTTTACCAACAATTCAAGGCCAATTACCAAAGTTTCATATTATTCTTAGTTATTGGTGCATTCAAAATCCAACTGAAAACACCATTGGGTTTTTATGCCATCTGGAGAAACAATAATAATTCCAGCCCCAAAGGCTCGATCAATGCTAGACCCATAAAAAATAAGCCTCCAAGGAACCAAGTCAATCAAAAAGAGATTGATTCCCTTGTCTTCATCAACGTTAACATCTAAACAAGGATGATATGCTAAAAAGTTTGCTAGGCCTGTCCTTTGACAGCCTTCTGAGGCAAATATCTTAGATTAAATTCAGTAAGTGTAAAAATCCACTTACCAATGCGACCTCTTAAGAGTGGCCACAACAGTATATATTTTATGACATCAAATTTTGAAACAACAAACACCTCTGAATATAATAAATAGTACCTCAATTTTATTGCTGCAAAGAACAAAGTCAAATACAATTTTTCAATTGAAGAATATTTCACTTCAGTCAGATTTAAAGCTCTACTCAAATAATAAACAGCTTGTTCTTGTTTATTATTATTCTCTTGCGCAAACAGACAGCCAATTGACTCATCTGCGGCGGATATATACAGCAATAAGGGTTTATTTTTAACTGGAGGAACCAACACAAGTGCCTTGGACAAGTATTCCTTGATGGCATCAAAGGTGGCTTGGTGCTATCTCTCCCATTTAAGATCTGCATTAGGCTGCAACTTCAAAAGAGATGAAAAGACACGAGTTTTGCCCGCCAAATTAGAGATAAACCTCTTTACGAAATTGACCTGACCAAGAAACCTTTGTAATTCCTTTTTATTTTATGGTGGCCGTGCTTTAATTATGGCCCTTGCTTTGTTTTTGTCCAGCTTTAGGCCTCGTTCATGGACTAGAACAACATCATCGATATAAATCTTCATGAAGCGACCAATCAAATCATGGAAAATTGCATTCATGGCCCGTTGATATGTAGCTCCTGCATTTTTCAACCCAAACGGTATCATGACCCATTCATACGTACCTATGTTTCCAGGGCAATGAAACGTTGTTTTACTTATGTCTTCCTCTGCAATAAAGATCTGATTATAGCCACTGTGCCCATCCATAAAAGATAAAATGTGATAGCGTGCAACCCCATCAACAAATACATCTGCTACTAACATGGGGTATTCATCCTTTGGTGTGGCTAGATTTAAGTTTCAAAAAATAATGCAGACTCTTAGCTTTCCATTCTTTTTCACTACTGGAATAATATTAGACAACCATTCTAAATACCTGGCTATTCGTATAAAACCAACTTTATGCAGTCGCTCCACTTCTTCCTTCACCTTCAAAATCACTTCTAGACACATACGGCGTGGCGACTGTTTGTATGGCTTATATGCTTTGTTGATTGGTAGTCTATGCTCTACCAACTCTTGGTCTAAACCTGGCATCTCAGAATAATCCCAAGCAAAGTAGTCTTTGAATTCATGTAGTAAACAAATTATTTTATCTCGCATCTTTGGCGGCAGCAAGCCATTGATAAAAGTAATGCGTAGCTCTGCCTCTGTTCCCAGATTAACTTCCTTCAATGGATCCTGTACATCTGCCCTGGGGTCATCCATCTTCGTATGGGCTAGATCTAACTCTTCCATTGTGACTCCATTAGTATGGGTGTCCTCCTCACCTTCATGTACCACCTCCGATAGATTTGCTTTTGTATTTGTTTCAACAAAATAGGCCATTAATTTCTTTAGAATTTTAGATACGGCCTCCCTTTTTTTTTGTTTTTCTTGGACTTCTTCGTAATAACTCCTCAATTTTACGCTCCTCTTATAGCCTACAATAGGATGTAACTCAAAAGCT